ACAGTTTTTCTCCTTCTTCCGTGACGGCCAGGCTTGCCGTTTACTGACTAACCACTCTTCAACCTGTTCGCTTTCCCCATTGTTTAGTAAGTTTGTGATTCACCTCCTGAGCTGATCTTCTTTTCTTTTTCTCAGACGGATTTTAATCTCGCGTACGTATTGCTGCACGTGCCCCCATGCCTTAGCTTGTGTTTCTTCTGTCGACATTTTTTTTTTTTTTTTTGGTTGTTGATTACACATTAAGTTTACTTTCTTACCAGGAGCAATTAGGATTATCACATTAAAATGCAGAATGTTCAGTTAAGTTGAATTTCATAAAAGCAAAAAAAAAAAAAATTCCGGAATAAATATGTTTGAAATATCATCCATTTCTCTTCATCTGAAATTCAAATAAAACTGGTGAAGTACATTTTTATTTACTAAATCTGGCAATTTTAAGTTTTAAAGTGGCACATTTGTAGATCGCATAACTTGATCCCCATCATTATTTCAAAGTGTTCTTATTGATGTGTTCAGAGGTATCCAAGAAATGCTTATATCTAATACAATATGAAATAAATAGCTCATACAATTTATGAACAGTTTGCTCGGAGGCATAGTTGTTAATATTATAACATAAAGTACTTCTTAATTAGATTTGGCAATGAGGTAAGGGATTGTTGCTGGACGTGGAAGCAGGAGACTTTAACTGCAGTACTTGAGAGGCAGAGGCAGGTGGGTCTTGAGTTCCAAGCCAGCCTGGTCTAAAAGTTCCCGGTCAGCCAGGGGTATACAGTGAAACTTTGTGTCGAAGATAAGAAATTGTAGATATAAAGCATGGATTTCTAGGCTAGGAATCTGGTCAGGAAAAGTCCAGGACTTTGTTGATGAATGAAAGGAAATCAGATGAACCTGGATCAGCCAGCAGGAGATACTGGTTTTGAAATGGACTTGCCTTCCACAAGCCCCAGTGAGATTCTCTGGGATACCATCCACCCCCTTTCTGCCCATCGATCAAGAAATTGTCTTGATCAGGCAAGATCCCAGGTCCAGGAGAGTCCAAAAATTAATCAGTTTTTAGAACATTGAATTCAAGCTGTGAGACCTGAAGACAAGTTATTGGACCCTAGTAGTGAGAGGAAAGCTTGTCAAAAAAAAAAAAAAAGAAAGAAAGAAAGAAAGAAAGAAAGAAAGAAAGAAAGAAAGAAAGAAAGAAAGAAAAAACATTAAAGACCTTGTACAGCTACAGGTAATGCTATGGACTCTCTGTGTCTTAACTTTCGGTTTTCTGCATCTCATCTTACATTGGGTGAACCAGTCCAGAATTTTTTCAAAAGTTTGATCTGTGTATGTTCTGCTTATGTGTTGAGTCTTATATGTTGTTCCTAAGTGTGTGTGTGTGTGTGCATTTTGATGTCGTTTCATCTAATTTTGATGTTCATTTAATCAATCAAACATGGCAGCTGTTTGACACAGGACATAGAGCAATGGGGTGGGGAAATACTTCTCTTCCTGGAGCTTTCGGTCTAGTGGGGCAAACAGACATGACACAGTAGCTCAGGCTTAGAAGTGACCCAATTTTATTCAGAGTCTGAACATGTATCCGCTCTGCACCTCTTACTTAGAAGGGACTGTGGGACATGAATAAAGAACACAAAGATCTTTCCTTCTGCTTGTTATCAGAGGCTTTGATATAAGAAACAAATGTAGAAATATACAAATATAGAAATATACTTGCTATCGACTTAGAAAATAGTACATATATTAGAAAAAGATGAAAACGTAGTTAGAAGGATAATTATTCAAAATAGCTTAGCAGACAGAGAAATACCAGGTTTAAGGCACTGAATGCTCCTTAGAGCTGAAATATCAGCAGAGTCAGAGGCTCAAAATAAATGACAAAGCTGGTCAATCTAGATTGTTGAGAATTTTTAAAGGCATTGGGGGAATTGCAATTTTAAGATGATTTGAAGTCATTTTGGAGTTTTAAACTGCAGACTGTTATGATGTTTTTTTTTGTTTTTTTTTTTTTTTTTTTTTTTTTGTATTTTAAACTTCTCCTTCTGCCCGTGACTAGGAAAACCTCAAAAGCAAATAACAGTGAGTGGGAAAACAATGAAGAGGCATTTGTCCTAGTTCACGGGAGGTGATGCTGCCTGTCTGTGACTAGCATGTTTCCTGAAACATGTGACAGCTGAGAAAAGATGGCCACTTCTATGCTTAACTTCCCACCTTCTTACATTCAGAACAAGCCAATGCCTGCCCAACTTCTCTTTGCGCTTTCATTCTGTGTAAAGCCTATTTGAAATGCTCACACTTTTCTGTTTTGTTAACTATCCAGTTTGTGTCACATCTTTTAAGGAAAAATTAGAGTATGCACCATTCAGGGAGCAACGATACATGTTGAATTGACAGTCATCCTCTTCTTCTGGATCTGGATCTGTGCAGACACATGTTTCTCTGAGAAGGACCATCTGTAGCAACCCGGCAGATAACACGTTCTGATAGTATCATCTCCCTAAGCCCTGACACTCTTTCCTTTCCTAATAAGATGAGTTAGATGGTAGAGGAGGTGACTGCGTATCTCTTTGTCACTCTACTGTTAAATATGCCAGATCTTATATACCAAAAAGTGGTGGACCATTTGTCCTTCATATTTTGTTATCATATTTCAATATGCACATGTAGTGAGATAAGACAGATGCCTTGCTTCATTGTTACACATGCAAGCTGCGCCCTCAACCAGTCTCACAGCTGTGTAATGCTGCTCCACTAAGCAGCATTTGTGTGCTGTCCATCTGAGGCTCTTTGAGTTCTCAGGATCTAGACAGAAATTGCATCTGGCCTTTTAACTCCATGCATCCAATTCTTGTCCTAAATGAACTAACAAAGGAAGGCAAAGATTTCCATTTTTCATCTCATCAAAATACTTTCATGAAGGAGAGTGGAGCACCAAGTATCAATCTAGATGATGTTTGGGACTGAGTCTTGGTTGATAGATTTTTTTTCTGTTCCTCATCCTTGAGATATACATCCTGCTTACAAATGTGGGGGATGTGGGGGAGGGAAATGAAGATCAATGCTTTAATGGCTTCCATTGCAATATGTTGTTATAAGCATGTAAATCCTGACCATGGGTATCCATCTTCTACTATTTTGTGTCTCGGAGTCTCTCCCTCATGGGTTGCTTCGCATCTTGCTTGAAGTGAAATCACTTTAAAATTTATATCCTGTCCTACTTTTATTTCAAGACTCCACTTAAAATATCTTTTTTTTTCTTCTTTGCTGGCTCAGATATGCATGCAGATTTTATGCATTTCACACCCTTTAAAATGAAGAAAATAATAGGCTAATCTGAATAGTGGTAAAATGAGAGTAGAATAGAGATTTTATTCTCGGGATAATGGACTGTGATATATTCTCCCGTGGCTATGAGCTATCTCCATAGTTAATACAGTCGGGAAGAAAAGGGATGTTAATAAAGCAGAGGTGTTACATAATTTTGGAGGTGTTTTGCTATTTGATGTAGCCCATCAGAATGGGCAGCAGGTAAGTTGTTTTTGACTCTTCTACGACTCTGCTCAATGAGTTAAACATAAACATATTAGCTACCCAACACATGCCTAGAAGGACTGAATTGAAACTAAGAGCAAAGACATGATACGCATTCATAGAGAACGAAATCCAAGATGAAAGGTTCTGGAATTCAAACTGAAAATTTGGCAAGGGATTCCCTGTTTGAGAATATACACCTAATTGGTGCTTCACAAACGGCTCTGCTCCCAGGTCTTTCTGACTTGGAAGATCTGGCTTGGAAACTGAAATAATTCATTCCTAGGCATCTCTCTTCCGCATCACATTGCTGCTACTGTTTCAGGTAGTGCTCTTTGAACACTCCCAAATCAGACTGTGAACTGCTGGCTCAGCCCAGGGGATCTGGCAGGCTGCTTACTCTGTGATCTGCAGAGGCAAAGGGGTGGTTTCTAGAAATTTCTGAGAGAAGTTAGGAGATCACGGAACTGGGTGGGTTTGGAATAGTTTTAAGGGACTTGTTCCGTCTTGATCTACTGGACTGATGGCTGTGCTCTAGCCGGGAAAACACACATGAGAGTTCAAATTAACTGGCACCCATGGGGCAGAATTCATAGAATAAACCTGCAATACTTTCAGCTAAGTTAACTTAATTTCTCAAAGTGAGATTGTGATGAAATATCTGAGCTGATTTATGTGTAGTTTAATTTACAAAAATATCACTATGTTGAGAATAAAGTTGGTACTATTTACCTGGCTCTTGAGGTAAAACAGGAATGATTAGGGCCCTGGAAAAGAGAAAATTCAGTCACAAGAAAACAAATGACTGGAAGGCGACACGTCCACTGGTTACTCCCTCGTTCCCACTCAGTTAGTGAAATCCCCAACTGAAGAGCCTCAGGAAACTTCTGGAAAGGTAGCAGCAGCTTCAACAACCCGGTAGCATGGGGACAAAGTTCATTTTGTAGCAGTATTAAAATGGAAACCACCTAAATTTCAGAATTGATTTCATATGCTTCATTATGCTTTGCTAACTAGTCTCCTTGAATTTGAAAATTTCTAAATATAAAAATTTTTACATCCTACTTTCCGAGTTTCTTTTGGATGAATTCCTCACTGCACAGTAATCATTTCAGACTTTGGGAGATGTCGTCATTTGTATTTTGTTTTTCACAGAATTTCATGGACTCCATTGGATTTTCTTATTTTGTCAACAAGAAAGACTAATGGTACTGCATTAAGCTGAACTATTTCTTAAAGACATTAGGAAACCATCGAAATGCTGGGCTAACTCCAGTGTCAAGGACTCTCCCGTTCATTTTCACCCTGTTCTAACTTGAAATAGAAAAATGAATCTGCTTTGCAATCCTTTCAGGGGTCAGCCACCGCTCAGCTCAGGTATTTAAAACCACAGAAAGGTGGCTGGAAAGGTAGGCTACCCAACCAGAGGCGGTCAGATTTCAGTGTCTGGCTGTTCATTTCCGCTCCAGGTACACGCAGCAACACGCAGCAATGAGTGGGATTCTAAAGAGGAAGTTTGAAGACGTTGACGCCTCCTCTCCCTGCTCCTCGGCTCGCGAGTCTGACGACGAAGTCTCCAGCAGCGAGAGTGCTGACAGCGGGGACAGTGTCAACCCGTCCACCTCCAACCACTTCACCCGTGAGTCTTTAAATTTTTATCATCAGTGGAATAGAAAGATCAAATAGAAATGACGTAGTTTTGAGGCACCTCAGTGGATTCCATTACTTAAATGGAGTTGGCGGTGTTTTATTTGGTCCTTTTAGCCCACTGAGTCTGCAAAAGCAGGCATTTTAATCCTTTGACTCTTCAAGCACACTGGACACATAGGAGAGTAAAGAATAAACTGGGGTTAGGAAAACAATGCATCTTCCCGTAACTGGAATGATGTGGGAGAAAATGAAAGGCTGCATTCTGCATTTGCCAGTGGAAAGCGTTGGCGGTGATAGAGAGTGTGATCAGCCACACGCTGAAAAGTGAAATCAGCCAAGCCCTCCTCAGGGGCAGCCCCTTCCCAGTTATTTCTCTGAGTTACCAAGTCCACCAAGGTTACAATATCACCTGGGCATTTATAAAAATTATTGTTTTGAGATTATGGTACGATAACATCCCTTCTCTCCTCCTTTTCCTCCCTCCAAACCCTGCCATGAACCCTTCCTTTCTCTCTTTCAAATGAATGGCTTCTTGTCTTGTTAAGCTAGGCTTTTAGCTTATTACTTTTATTTATTTGCTTTGTCTGTGGTGAGCGAGTGAGGCAGTGTGTGCATGAAGTGGAGGTCGGCGGGCAACTTGTGGGAGTTGGTTCTCACCTTCCCTCATCATGGGTTCCACAGATCCAATTCAGGTTGCCACGCTTGGCAGTTTGCACCCTTATTCACCAAGCCATCTTGCCATCCTTGTTTGTTTTATTAGCTGATTTGGTTAATATGTGCACCTCAAACATTTCCTTGGTTTAGGAACTATGACAACCTTCTTTAAAAACAAAAAAAAAAAAACAACAAAACCTCAAGTGATTCAAACTTTTTGAAGAGCATGAGGTCTACATATTATAATTGGCAGTATTTCTTTGAGCAATCTGAGATAAATGGAAAATAAGAAAAGACAATTACTACAACTGTTATCGTGGAAAAGTGACGAAATACAAGGACAACGTTACTGTGATTTTTACCATAACTGAGCACGTGACTTGTACATATGATTTGTACATATCTTGATGCTGTGAGATCAGCTTGTGCTTTTGATTTGAAGGAAGAGGTATGGTGACCTTTTTGATTTTATACTAGTGATAAAGGTGACGTCATCTTGATCAAGCACAGCAAGTCAGGTGTTTCACATGACAGGACTCTGTAAATGTCAATATCATGCACTTGCTGTATTACACATTACGATATTCCTAACCTTTCCTAGGTACTTACTAACTATACCAAGAGTCTTAAGCCTTCGTGATTCAACCTTCCTAACACGGTGAGCCTTTAATACTGTTTTTCACGTTGTGGTGACCCACAACCATAAAATTATCTTATTGCTGCGTCATACTTTTGGTGCTGTTAGGAATCATAACGTAGATATTTTGGAGAAGGAGGTTTGCCAAAGTGGTTGCAACCCACTTTGAGAACGGTTGTCAGAAGCCACGGTATACATGGTAGGTATACATTTCGCTGTTGATGACTATGAACTTCAGAAAGTACTTGGTCAGTATAAGATCCATTCCTGATTCGGTATTCAGAGCGTATGCACGGAGGGAAAAACAGCAAAGGCAACAAAAAATTATACAAGTGAAAATGTTGCAGTTAAATTGTGGCATAAGACAGGAGACGGAGGGGAAGACAGCAAGTTCAGAGTGAAGAAAATGATCCATTATGTTACAGTAACCCATGAATGAATTTATTTTCACAATAGTTATGAAGACTACACAATATGTAAAATGCTCATGAGATGATATGAAGACAGAAGACAGAATCCTTATACTGACAGGGAAAACCTATGCAATCTCGAAAGCAAAAGCTGGTGCAACAACTTGGAAATTGGAAACAATTTGATTTGTTGAAAGATTAGGATGATGGATGGCTGTTTTTTATATCCACTAATTTCTACTTCTGTTAGTGTTATAATACATTCTCAAGAGGTATGTTTCAAAGTGTACTGAAAGAAATGACCAATCACTTTGTATTGATGTATGCAGAAGAGTAGGGTGAAATTGCATGGGGAACCGAGCTGGACAGTATTAAAGCCGAGACGTGTTTGTGTGTGTGAGAGAGAGAGAAAGAGAGAGAGACAGAGACAGAGACACTTATGTTCAGGTCCCCGGGGAGGCCAGAAAAAGGTCTCTGGTCAACTTGAATCTGGAGTTGAAGGTAGTTGTGAGTGTTATGACAGTGATTAAATCACTAGACCATATGCAGCATACCTGGTATAAGGAGGTTCTTTTCTGGGGATTGGGGAGAGAAGAGAAGATGAGTTAGAGCTTTAGTAAGCCATGAAAGCAGATAGAAAAATACCAAGGGATGGACCGAGAGAAAGGCATTGAGAGAGAGAGAGAGAGAGACATTGAGACAATGACTGAGAGACAGAGAGAGTGTGCTGGGGTGACAGGCGGACTCTTATGTCCCGTGCACCTGGCACAGGTGATAACAACATAGGCCCCTGAGGAAAGGCCAGTTGGATTGCCTGCACACCAACCACGAGCTTCCCCAGGTGGGTGCTGCAAACCAATGGAACAGCAAATGTTCTTAGCGGCTGAGCCACTCTTCCAGCCTTACAAATTCCACCTTTCAAAGGCGATTCGGTTATGAATTCAATTACAGTGCCTTTTGCAGATAGCAGTCTGCTGTACTCCCTGCCTTCTTATGGAAGTGGGGTGTGTGTGTATGTGTGTGGGTGGGTGGGGGGTAAGCTGTGAGAAATACAGAAGACTCAAATGACAAAGCCTCTACCTAAAATATGAAAGACAAGAGCAGGTTAACCAGTGTGAGAGAAGAGGCTAGAATTTTTGCCTTTCTCTTTAAATGTATTTTGATGCTGGTAAGAGTGGCATACACCTTTCATCCAACCACTTGGGAAACACAGGCAGCCTGAGCTTGGTGAGTTTCAGGACAGCTTGGGCTACATCTAAAGAGCTCCAGGCCAGCCAGAGCTACAGAGAAAAAAAAAAAAACCATAATAATATATAAGATTGTTTGCTACATCAGAAATCGATATGTAACATTGTAAACAATATTTTCTTTACTATTTCAAGTAGATTAGACAGAAGTTTATTATCAATATCTCCTTGACGGGGATCTCTGATTATAATTCTTCAGAGATTTACTAATGAATCCTGTTCCCCTCAGTTGTTTTTCTGCAGTCAAAAATGGAGACAGTATCTCATCTTGAAGTAAGGAATTTTTAAGACTATTAAACCCATGTGGCAACATGAAACAACTTAATGTGGCTAGCCTTATTTAAATCTCAGCCATCCTGGCTTTATCCTTCCAATTTAAATGAGTGGGTGTGCTCTGTGCTGTGTAGCCGCTAGCATATTATACATTACAGCATTTTGTTGTTTCCACAAATATAGAAATTAATAGGATTGGTTGGTACATGTCAGTCGCTGTGGTAATGCAAAATGTCATACTATTCTAAGCCTCCTGTTAAGGCGTTTCAATTTGTAGCATACCACATCATGATAATAACAGCTTCAAAATGTAAATTAGGAGGAACATGATGGCTTTTTCCTTGAACTTCTAAATTTTGCTAGGCAACTAGCGCACTTAGCAGTGATCAACCAAGGTCATAGTTTGTACTCTCCTTGGAGTAGAAGCAGCAGATTCCATAGGACGGAGGAACGCTTTGTTTCACCATGTCCCTGTGGCTCCTCAGCCAGTCATTCTGTCAAAAGGATAGCTTCAGGGAAAAGACAGGAATGATTTTTTCCCCTGCCCTCTGAAGGCTCTTGGCACTTCGCATAAGTAACGAGAAGCCGTGTGATGAAACACGGTCCCTGAAGGAGCACATCTCCTGCAGCGGTCTTCTAACGAATAAATGCATACCATACCGGACTCAGACTATGAAGAGGTCAAGGGATGGTTGTTCTAGACGACATATGCTTTTCACAGTGCTGACATTTCCCAAGTCACAGAAGGCTTCCACATTGTTGAGTTCTTTTAACATGCAGACATTGTTGTGCAATTAGGACTTATTATGGCCACAACAAAAGTGGAGATTAATCACCGCAGATTTCTTTACGATTTTCCTAAGAACTCAGAGTGTGTCTTTCTTGCTCCTCCCCGCCCTGGTCCTTCCGCCCACCTTTTTCTCTGAATCCGAAGTGCTTAAACATGCGAGTCACGAGTTTTCCCGTCACCTATTCCCCGTTTCATATTAGGGCTTAATATGGAGAATCAGTAGAAAGAGGATTTCAGGGTGAAGCTCTCCTTGGAAGTACAACTGGAACAAACATGTCTGCCATTTTCTCTTTTTTAAGCAGTTAAAATACACGCAAGACTTGGATTCAACTTCAAAGAATATTATGTAATTTTGTGTCACAGGCTCTGTGCTAGCAGCCATGTGTGAGTGATGACTTCAAAGAGTATTACTGGATTAAACAGCACAGATACCCAAACTGAGTTTTATTTTGAAAACTCTTTTTTCTTTTTTCTTTTTTTTTTTTTTTCAAAAGGAGTTGTAGCAATCTATCCCTTGATTCCATGATACCTTTTTAAGTGACTAGAGGAACATTTAGGCAGAGGCTCATTATGGGTATTTTGTGGTACAAAAAACCTCCTTTTTACTCTGTGATACTGACTCTAAAACCAAGATTCCAAGCTAGTCGTAAACCTGATAAAATAACAAAACATAACCAGTATAAAATCATCCTTGAAATGCTACCGCTACATGAAAAGGCCCTCTTCCCCGTGCTCTGGAAAAATAACAATCAGTGTGAGCTTGTGAGAACACACCTGGAGCCAGCTGTAGACCACCTCAGGCATCATAAAGATCACCCGCAGGTCAAATAAGCATCTGAATATCAGGCACAGATGAGCCGAATCGTTAGACGTTTGCCTTAGTTGTCAGAAAGAAAGCAGCTAAAAAGTAGGGGTAATGATGAGAGGGCAGACAAAATATGAACTAGCAGTTCTTTAGAAAATATTAACGTGAGTGTT